TGCTTGCATGACAATGGACCCCACAGTTGGATTTTCCAACTCCAAAATTATTTCCCGCTGACCAGAAGCAATCTGGCACTGCAAGTCCACAGCGCGATCACCGCTTGCTTCTCCATGGTCAGTGCAACTCTTATTCTGGTGTGTCTGTACTGGAAGGCTGAGGCAAGCTCTGCACAAACATTCATGAATGTGGCCTAGTGCATATGACAGTTTTGCAGCCACTGCTCGTCATTCAAAGCCAGCATTACAATGCAATCTCACGAGTCAGTGTTCATTTTTCAGGCCCACAAATGGCACTCCACCATTTGCAGCTGCTCAGAGAATGCCACCAACAATCTTGAACTATGTCCCGAGCAATCAGACTCCAGGAAACTGTCATGTTTCCTGTGGCTCTTCTTACGACGCTCCAGATACCAGAGGATCATGGCATTCTTGCCCACAATGTTTCTGACAATAGTGTAGAGCTGTGCAACTTCCATGTTTCTGTCAGATGTGGCAGACAGCAACAAATCACACATGGGATTTTTTAGGATTTTCAAAATAGGTGAAAAATTTTTTGGGATACAGATAGCATTATGGGGTGAATATGTTGCATGATGGGAACTTGACCCCGGAGTCCCAGTCACCCTTGCATGATTCAATTCTTCCCCACCACACATGCTAAAACTTCCCAAAAGACAGTGTGCTGGATGGTGATGAATTGCACACTGGGATACCTACCCCTGGTGCACACACTGTGCAACAAAAACACCTGGTGATACATGCAGCGCTGATACAAGGAGCCAAGTATGCATATGCACAAGTGATGTACTAACTGCGTTAGCAAAAGTTTGTAGTGTAGACATGCCCAGAGAATAGTTTCATCTTTAGAAAAGCTCCACCCAGACAGATGAAACTACCTTCTTCAAATGAACACAATGTATGGCCCATCAGAAACTATTTTATTTGATGGCCAAGTCTCTGAAATGCAGTTGCTGAAGGGGGACAATACACATTTGAAAGGCAGGATTAAAAGCCACTGTATACTCAAGGGATCATCTTTTAGGTATTGGCTAGACAAAGAAGAAAATGAAAAACATTGATGGTACAGTAGGTCATAGGGGAAAATATGTTTGGAGAATGGGCATGGCTGCCCCAGATGATGGGCAACTGCTGTCTGGAAAGGAAAGAGACCCAGAGTAAGGGAAGGACAGGAGAAAAAGAGAGAGCTCTGAGCTTTGTGACAGAGGAGGACCTCTCTTTAGGGACTGCTAGAAGTCCAACACAGGCCAGAGTCACAGACTGATTTTTGGAATGTGCAAGCATTTCCATTTCTTTTCTATCAACTAAAACTGCCTTGCCTAGTTTAAGTGAAGTGTAAGTCTAGGTATGTTACGCCAACTATTTCTTTGTTTTTACTCCATTTTCTGTTTTCAGTAAACCTTGTTATTAAGAAATCTGCAGTTTTGGGGGAGAAGTTTTTCTCAGTGCATCCTCAAGACAAAAAAGGCACCCTGCATCCTCAAGTAAGACGGGTACAGGAGGCGAGAGACATTCTGGAGCCTAATCTTCTACTCCTCAATTTTCATCTCTGTAAACAAGTTATGGGCAAAAGCAGCAGGCAAACACCTAGGGAGATGCTAACAGGATCAAGGAAAAGATGAGAGCTGGTGGTGAGGTTGTTACAATAGGGCTCGAGGTTCTCAGTGCTCCTTAAAATTAGGAACATAGTACATCTAGAAGGAAGCATTATGCAAGTTTTCCACAGAGTTGTGAATGCAACCCAGTGGAAAACCCCACTGAAAACAAATTATGGATAACTGTATTGTGGTTGTGATTGTGATTAAATCAGAGGCCACCATTTTAGACAATATTTGGACTTCTCCCTTACTCTTTAGGTCCAACTCTGTGCTCCCTAGTCACACAGAAAACTCTTAGTGACTCCAGCAGGTGATTCGCCTCAGGAAAGGGTGCCTTATTAGGCCTATTCCCATGAAGTTTCATATAGTGATCCCTCCCCTGCCCCCCAGATTTGTAGGATTGGCTACGTCAGCACTGGTCATTGAAACAGTCAGGCTTTCTGAGCAGAGCAGCCTTCTCCTTAAGCCTTTGTACTATGTCCTAACTCCATAGACCCTGGAAGTCTTGCTACAATGAAAAATCCACATATCAACGTTCAGTCATTATAAAATTGTGGTTTTGTATTTTTCCCCACTTTTACCAGCTGCAGAGTTCTCCTACCACTTGATCTATCGGAACCCTATGGCAAAACTGTCAGCACTGGACATGCTCCCACAGAGAGATTTTCCTATCAACTATAAAGCCATGCTTTTCAAATATCATCAGTTCCCCCTTGCCTCAGGCTGTCTTCCTGAATGCTTATTCATCCTGAAATGGTAATACACTATGAAGTCATTTAGCTCTTTCAGATTTATACCCGATCTCATACCCGAGCTTCTCAAGGAGAATGAGCAAGAGCTAGCAAAATTAAAAAAACAAACAAAAACCTCATGTCACAAAACTTTCCATTGCACCATTTCCCCTAAGTGAAAAGATTACTTCTAGATAGATAAAACATATTTTATAAGGTCAGGTAATAACCAATGCAGCCCATCATTCCTATTTTCAAAAGATAATTATGGCATAGAAATAATTTCTGTAGCATAATCCCTATTTGTGTAGTGGTTGAGGGAAGTGGGGAGAGGGTACATGCAGAGAATGTACCGTTAGATGACCACAGCCATCTGTCTCAGAGAAGTCTTTTTCACAGAATCAGAGTGGGAGATGGGGTAGAGGGAGGTTATGTAGACCCTCTTCTGCCACTCCAGGACTGGGAGCTATCGCATTTACTAACGCATATTTTTTATGAATATAATACAATTCTCAAAGAGAAATCTCTTTAACAAAATAAGATAGATCCCATCAACAACTACGGTGACCTTTGCGGTATAGTCTTGTATTTCAGTAACACCACAACTTCACTGAACACTGCACCTCCAGGAGGCCCAAGAAATACATTTGGGGTGGGCAGGGGGAACCGTGCACGAATCACAGCTGTAAGCAGAGCAGCTGCACTATGGGGGGGAGGGGCCTGCATAGGTGAGATGGCTAAGTAGAAGCCACTTGTAGCTTTTTGCTTATTAAGTGGAGATACAGACAAAATGCTTTAGGGGTGCATGGAAGCTGGGGCAAGTGCCTACTAATTTTTTTTTTAAGTGGTATAACCAGCCGTCTCCTTTCTCTACACCTGCTGGCTGGCGTCAGATGCCAGCAGGTGACTAGCAATGTGGATTCAAGGCACAGGCTATGATTCTAAGTCAGGTGGACACTGTGTGAGGCTTAGTGTGTTACAAGCGGTGCTAGCCAGCTGCTCCTTATACGCAAGGACCACTAACACTCTGTCCGAGTCCTGTACAAATTCAGAGGCTCCCTAGCCTGTCCCCCTTTCCTGTGCACATGCTGGAAGAGCCACATTTCGGTCAACGCTTGACCCTTGAACCACAGCAGGTAGTTGTCTTCTACTAGACACAGCAGTTAAGAGAGTGTTCACAGTCAGAGCAGTGAGCTCTTCTTTTCCAGTAGGCTAGCAAGAACTGGGGATCAGGTTCAAGACACAGAAGATACTTTGTACTATGCAACCTTTCAGAGGCTGTGCTGCCTCTTTTCACCCCTCCCACAGCAGACAACAGCTGAAAGAGGGAGGCTGCAGAGAGCTCCCTCTGAGCTCTGCCTCTCTTGGTAGCTTCCAAAAAAAAAAAAGAGGACTTTGCTCTTCCCTTGGGTTTCTTTGTTCTCTCTCACTCACCATTGCTTCACCTGGGGAAATAGGGAGGAACATCAGGGAGCAAGTGCAACTGTTTCCACTTTCAGGGAAAATGCTGCACTAGTCAGGGAACTTAGTTCCCCAATTGTACACGGACTGTAATGCCTCTCACAGAGGCAAGTCACAATCTAGGTGACAATGAAACACAAAAGTGTTAATGTCACAATGGCCAAACCCTACAATCCTCACTCAATGAGCAGCACATACATCCACTGATTTTAATGCAGCACTCACGCAAGTGATCATTTCTTACCGTAAGAGCACAGAAACAGGCCCCAAATGAGGCAATAACAAAAAATAGACTGCAAGGGGTTATGCAGTTTAGATGTAATATACTGACTATTTAAGGAATTGCCTGTCTCATTTGATTCTATTTTCAGAGATGTATGAAGACATTTGACAAAAATCTACCATTTCTCCTCAATCTTATTCATGAATCATGAGCAAACATAATCAGTTTCCAGCATGTACATGCCCCCCTTCTAACCCCAGGCATTTGATAATGATTCACCAGTTGTAGCTACAGTATAACATGGTTAATGATTATGTAAATTACAGTTCTCCATTATGTAATCTCACATTATATAACAACAAGGAAAAGGCATGTGTAAAGTGCAAAGTTTGAACTGCAAAATACAGAGGGATCGATGCCTCAATACAGCCTGGATATTGCCTTCCCCAACGTCCTCTCTGCTGTGCATCCAAAGCTAATAAATCCATAAATAAAATAAAAATGACCCATGTCCTTACCTATATATTGAGAGAAGCAATTAAATAAGGATTGTATCTTGCCACAGATAATCCACAGCCTGGTTTTTAGTTAACCAAATCTGATTCATAGGAAATTATAATGTACATCCTAAATTAAAAAAAAAATTGTATGCTAGAAATTGAAAAGGGTTGTTTTAGGATTGGATTCAGGTGGGAGGAGGACTAATGAGAAATGTCCCTCCTGCTCAACCCTAATGGCGCACACTGACAATTCTTTAGCATGCTGGTTGATAAAGTCATGCCATACTACTAAGTCCCTAGGTCTTCAAATGTGCTGAATCCACATCTCAGACTGCAAGCTTCTGACTGTCTGCTACAAAAAAGCAGCATTGCATCCAGGACTGCTCATTCATCCTCATTCAGGCTCAAAGGGCAGAGTGGGTGACTTCAAAATAAGTTAAACATCTTAGTGGAGGAGAGGCGAGGAGGGAGAGGAGAACATGAAATAAGTGAAATGGAAAAATGGAATGAAGAGACTATCAGAGAAGGGATTAGAGGAACAAAGGGAAAATGATGAGAAACCCTTTCTCCCTTCTCTTCCATATTTATCACTTTCCCACTCTATTCCTTTCTTTCCTTGTCTTTCTTTCCACTCTCTTTTGTCACTATAGGCAATGGCTGGCTGGCGTGCAGATAAACTGGCAACAAGCCAGTACATGTGTAGCTGCTGAACAGCTCAGAGATTAAGCAGTGTTCAGGGATAGGGGTGGCAGATAGTGATTTGAGGAGAGTTTCTTTTTCTAGGAGGAAGATTCAGAAGAAAAACAATGATCTTAATATTTTGTAAGCTTCAGACATGTAGCATGAATCAGAACCATAAAGGAATCTTCCTCATGATGACTGTTATTACTAGGCATAAATCTGGACTTTTAACCTTGTTTGCAAAAGTCAGTTTAAGATGACTACTCGGAGTGTTTCCATTGACTCCAATGCACTTGGGATCAGGCCTGAATACAGGTGAGTAAATACTGCAACAAAAATGCAACTGATTTTTGTTCAAACTTTGTGAGTTAACTTCAACTGTGTTCATGCCCCATTTTCTATTTGCTCTTCATATACATTCTAGTGATGTTTGCTGGCAAGAATGTCTGCAGAAACAGAAGGCATTATGCAAATTATCTCTGAATAATGAGCAGGTTAAGACAGAAGATTCCCAATGGTAAGAATAAATTGAGAAATTTCACCCCTGTCCTGTGCCTCCCTGTATTATAGACTGAAGGACTATTAGAAGAATTCTGAGATGTGTTTCATGACTGATTTCATTGGTTGCCCAATTGCAAAACTTACACGTGTGCTTTCAAATTGTAACAAACTTGTCTACGCTTTTCTGTTTGTATTCATTTTTAATGAAAATTTAAAACACTGGAAGATTTCATTTAATTTTTGTAAGGTTAAGGCAGATGTGACTGGTTGGGTCACAGAGACCCCCTTGGGACTGCCACCTGATGTGCTGAGACTACCTCTGAGCCCGTTTTCCCTGGCAGCTTGGGACTTCAGTACCCTCTCTTGTTGAGCCAGACACGCTAGCCTGCTGCAAACACAGACCCAGGTCTGAACCATGTCCCCTACAAGCTGCAGACTTAACTGAAAACAGCTTAAGAAGTGCTCCTGTCTCTAGCACCCAGACACCCTGTTCCCAGTGGGATCCAAACCCCAAATAAATCCGTTTTACTTTGTATAAAGCTTATACAGGGTAAACTCATAAATTGTTCACCCCCTATAACAGTGATAGATATGCATAGCTGTTTACTCCCCCAGGTATTAATTACTTGCTCTGGATTAATTAATAAGCAAAAAGTGATTTTATTAAGTATAAAAAGTAGGATTTAAGTGGTTCCAAGTAATAACAGACCGAACAAAGTAAATTACCAAGCAAAATAAAACAAAAACACACAAGTCTAAGCCTAATACAGTAGGAAACTAAATGCAGGTAACTCTCACCCTCAGAGATGTGCCAATAAGCTTTTTTCACAGACCAGACTCCTTCCTAGTCTGGGTCCAGCAATCACTCACACCCCCGTAGTTACTGTTCTTTGTTCCAGTTTGTTTCTTTGGGGTGCAGAGGCTATCTTTTGAGCCAGCTGAAGACAAAATGGAGGGGTTTCCAGGACCTTTTATATTCTCTCTCTTGTGGGCAGAAACCCCTTTGTTCTCCTGTGCAAAATCACAGCAACAAGATGGAGTCTGTAGCCACCTGGGCAAGTCACATGTCTATGAATGATTCAGCTTTTTGCAGGCCGATGCCATTGTTTACATGTTAGTTTGAACATTCCCAGGGAAGCTCAGATGTGGATTGGTGTCTCCCAAAGTCCATTGCTAGTTAAGTACTCCCTATTACTTGAATAACCCCTTCACACTATGTTGACCAAATCTGCCTTATGTGCTTCCTACAGCAAACACTTTAAATACAAGCATAGAGCCAATGCTCATAACTTCAGATATAAAAATGATACATGCATACAAATAGGATGAATATATTCAGTAGATCATAACCTTTGCAAAGATATGTTACATTGCATATATAGCATAAAACATGTTCCAGTTATATCATATTTACCCTAATAAGCATATTTGTATAAAGCATTATGGGGTGCAACGTCATAGCAGAGATCAAGAAGAATATGGAAGAAGCTCCCAAACTCAGCTACATTTCGAAGTTACTACACATCCACATATCATAATTCTACAAATATGCAGTCCATCCTCTCAGATTAGCTCTGAAGCGAAAAATTTTGGAGAATGGCCAAAGAGAGAAAGGAAGAGAAGTAATTAAGGGGAAAGAGTATAAAAATGGATAAACCTCTTGAAATTTCTCCTTGTTCTTATCTCACAGATAAAAAAAAACTAACTGAATTGTACTGATGACCAAAGCAGAATCAGTCAATTAAGAAATATATAATGCTGGTTTAGCACATTTGCCATTGTACTGATGATCCAATATGATCACACGGTCTAGGATCGTGACCGATCAAATTAACATTAGTACTATTGGCTCACACAATACTACTGTGAGTTTCCCATTTTGCCCTCACATATCCTGTAAGGAGTGCAGAGCAAGCCTGCTAACGAGGTTCCATGGTGCCATGTGTAAAAAGTGCAAGTGAATTCAACATGATTTATTTAAAAAGTGTAAGACAGAGCTTACAAAAGAGTAATGCATGGCATAGGAATGTCTATTCTAATTATTCCTAATATAAAAACACTTTTTGTTTATGTTGCTGACAAATAGATGTCTTTTCGAACATCTCTAGACTTTCAAGCATTTCTTCTCAAATTTGACATTGAACAGGAGAAATGAAGAGACACGAACAACATTAGCGAGATAGCTCTATGCTCAAAAAAGACTTTCATATTAAAAATTACTCTTAAACCATAAAAAGAAAAGGAGTACTTGTGGCACCTTAGAGACTAACCAATTTATTTGAGCATAAGCTTTCGTGAGCTACAGCTCACTTCATCGGATGCATACTGTGGAAAGTAAGAAAAGGAGTACTTGTGGCACCTTAGAGACTAACCAATTTATTTGAGCATAAGCTTTCATGAGCTACAGCTCACTTCATCAGATGCATAGAAGACTACACTTTCCACAGTATGCATCCGATGAAGTGAGCTGTAGCTCACGAAAGCTTATGCTCAAATAAATTGGTTAGTCTCTAAGGTGCCACAAGTACTCCTTTTCTTACTTTCCACAGTATGCATCCGATGAAGTGAGCTGTAGCTCACGAAAGCTTATGCTCAAATAAATTGGTTAGTCTCTAAGGTGCCACAAGTACTCCTTTTCTTTTTGCGAATACAGACTAACATGGCTGTTACTCTGAAACCTGTCTTAAACCATACTATGCTTCCTAAGAATATGACTTCAGTGTTCTATTTCCACTTGCTGAATTGTTTTCCTTCAAGAGCAATAAGCTGGCTGTCCAGATATCTGTATTCTTTGTGACATTTGGGTACTTAAGCCTAAGGTGCCAACATCCTTAGAAAGGTTACAGAGAATGGTAATGCTTCAGCTCTGAAAAATTGCATCGAGGCACTGAATTCTGGACGTCAATTATTTCATGACCTATGCTGTCAATTGGCAATATTGTTGCATTCCCTACACCCTTCCTTCTAGCTGCGTGACATTGTTATCCAAATATTTCCTTTGGCTGAAAATGCAGCTTGGTTGAGGAAATAACTGAATTTATATGAATGGAAGCTCTTATTTATGACTGTTCTGTTTGCTAGATGATTCATTGCCTCCAATAAGAATATTTGAATGTGTTGAGCTATTTGTATTGAAGGCATCATCTGTAAAGCAATATCGTTTGGTGGTCACTGGGTGGCTGATTTTGTTTGGTATATGCCTCTGTAGATGTTATTACCTTGTTAAGAATCAAAGATGCTGCTTTGCTGGACACTGAATTAATAGCTTTTTTCTGCTTTTTTAATCTCTGGCTTTTCCTTCTACACCAGTGAATCATAACTCCCCTCTCTTCTCCCCTGTTTTTGATATTCCTCAGATGCCACTTCCTCAGCAGCCCCCATAAATAAATGCACTTTGCAGCATGCTCCAAAGATCTGATTTTGGGGGGTTCAACCAGACCAGTAAGGGGTTGCATCACACCTGCCCTTCAACTCTGGGTGTCTTACATGCTACATTGCTGTGCTCAAAGCCCAGAGAGCAACAGCCAACACACAAGCATACAGGTCACACCCTGGCTTCCACTGTCCAGTTACTGTTTGCAGAGTAACCCCAACATCTCCCTAGTCCCAAATTTACCCAAAATTGTCTCTCACCCTCCCTCCAGTGTCCAGGTCTTTCCTGGAACAGCCACAGAAGTTAAGTTCCCTGCTTCTTTAAAGAGACAGAAACAGCAGCTTGTTATCTTGTCTGGAATTAAACAATCACTTCTATTCAGTCAAAGTACTTGGCTGGTTTAGATGAAAAGTAAAACAATTTATTTAATCAAAGTATTAGTGAGTGCAAGTATAAGGGATAAAGACAGAAAGGGTTACAAACAAAAGTAAAAATGGTTTTCTAATGGCTAAGACCAAATTTAACAAGCTACTGTCTTTGTTCAAGGTAGTTTCCTCACCAATCTTCCTTTTACAGCAATGGCTGAGTAGACCTTTAGTCAGGATCCCCACAGAGTTTAAGGCACTGGGTTTCCTTGTCTCCTCAGGTGAAGGAGAACTCAGCAGCTCTCTGCGCCTCTCTTTATAGTCCAGTGAACCTTTGAAAATTCTCTGTCAAAGTTCATTGACCCTGCTTCAAGATGCAGGAAGGATTCCTAGGGCTACAGTCTTCATTCCACACTGACATTGTTAAGTGATCACTTTCTCCCTACTTGCTGACCCGATGGCTTTGTTTGCTTGGCATGTAATTGTGATTTTCTTTGGTCACACCTTCAAGCAGGCAGAAACACATTCCTCTGACTGGAAAAAAACTGTTTATCTACTCCCCCCGACATACCTGGTTTAAACACATTTTAGTCATAATTCCAGTACCTCTGTATAATCTTTTGTGGGCTGACTGTACATATGTCATGCAAGAATATTATGATCAGTGAGTTATTAGTTTTCCAGTGACATATTACATGCCACCTTTTGGGAATATATTGTGACAACAGTGTGTTAGATGTAGTGAGTAGGCCAGCCCTGACAAGATTTGCTGACAGAGTAGTGAACCACCAATAAGCATCTGTGTCACAAATGGTCAATAGACTTAGGCCATTTTGGACCAGGGAGAAAGCTAGTTTCAGAATTGTCTACCATAGACAGATAACACTATCACTTGCCTTGCCAGGGGAATGCAGGTCCAGTGACTGCTGATTGCAGTGTGGTAGTATGGCCTGAAGAGAGAAGTGGTCTCTCAAGTTGGTCCTAAGCCATTTTGATCTGTATAGATCACACCCAACATGTTAAATTCAGTCCACAAACTGAAGCAGATCTGGGCGCACAGATGACACGTGCTGTCATTGAGAAGCACAATTTCACAGCGAAGCTGCTGCATTCTGCACCAGCTTCAGTTTCCAGATTGGTCCAAAGTGTACCCTCAAGACTGGGTTTCTGCAAAGAGTACATGGGCAGTTATGGGATTGCATGGATGTAACTAAAGAAAGAGATGCCTCCCACCCCCCAAATGCAGTTGTACATGTGCAACAAAGCAAAGTATCCACTACTAATGAAGAGGGGGAAATGCTAAAAAGAAACCAGGAATTTCCAAGATGTCCTTGTGGTTAAGGCACTGCACTGGGACTCTAGAGTTTTGAGTTCTTTCCCTGCTTGGCCACAGACATTCCTGTGTCTTAAGCAAGTCACTTAGGGCTTGATTCTGCTCCTGCTATAGTCAAAGGCAAAACTCCCATTGACTTCAACAGTTCAGGATCAAGCCCTTAATTAAACTCTGCAGCAGTTTCCCATAATTTTAGTAGTAATTCTCTATCTCACAGTGTTGATGTAGCAAGCATAATTCCATTAATGTTGGGTGAGGTGTTTAGAGGCTAGAGTGATGAGAACCATAAAAAGCCTTTAAAAATAAAAAGGGTCAAATAGATCTATCTTGCCATCACACCAATAGTCACTCTGGTAAATTACCCCAATCTTACAAACTAGTTAATGGAAGAACAATTTTTAGGAAAAATATAAGCAAAGGGGAGAGACTCAATTTACTATGACTGGATAGTTTAATTAAGATTAAACTACCCCAATGTTTGCTCATCATATTTTATGAGAATATTTTTAGTGACCACTTCATGCTTGTTTTAAATCTGAAAATCCTGACTTACTTGATTTAAGTCTATTTTAACAATGCTTTTTATCTTTTATCTTTTTCATATTAAGAAAGCCAGCTCATTTCTGTTAAATAAACCAAAGACATAAAAGTAACAGTACTTGAGGGTTAACTGGATTAGAATGATAATTGCAGATGTAAGGAACAACAAAGGTGCCACTAGAGTGTATCTGTGGGCAGCTGGTATGGCAGATTTTGCCAATATTAGTGTTAATGTGGGAATACAGCAATATGGTAGCTGCTAACATTTGACTCAATAAATCTCAGTCCATTTTTTAAGTCTAGCTAGCGTTTTGGAGAACCAAGCTCAGTATTTCATTGTGCCAAAGGCAGGATTTTATGTGAATCCCACTCAAATGGCAACAGGCATTCTTAGGGTTTTTAAAGTTTTTTTCCTCTGAAAATCTAGCACACAGCCAAAGATAATTCATGTCCAAAATATTCACAGAAAAATGGTGTAATGCTCGCTATGGTGGTTTTTCTCAGATGATTCAAGCCCTAAGAGAAAACATGTCTGTGCTGTCAAAATCATTTGACAATGTTTTGTTATTATTATATTTAGTTTGTATGTAATTTTTTCTTTTAAATTGAGCTCTAAAGTTGCTTAGTACATTTTCTTTTTAAAGAACACTAGACTTTAAAAGTAAGAGCCACATAAATATTCACAGTAACTGTTTATATGAGTGGGCAACCTTCAGAAGTTATCAATTCCACACAAGTCTGGTGCTTTTCACAACTTAGAAAATTACAAAGAATGCAATTAGAATGTATTTCTAAAACTACTTCTTGCAATTAGCTCTTCTAGAGATGGGTCCTTAGGTAACATGTTTTGGACCAGGAGCTCTCTGTTCTGATCAAGTTCTCTCTTTGAGAACTATGTCTGTCTGTCGAAGATACTTCCTCCTCCATCTACTTTAGACACCCTTCTTTATTTCTGTGACTATCCTCCAGTGCTTAATTTGTAATGAAAGTGGTCAAGCTCTTTTTTAACATTCATAACTGATGCAGCAAGCTCAGAAGTGCCAGGGCTTTTAACTGCCAAGCCTAGCGGTGGTGGGGCTCAACCCTGGCACAAATTAAGCCCTACTACCCTCTCTACTCCCACACACTGTCATGCCTTCCCACAAAGAGTTTTCTTCTGATAAGGCTACCTCACAAGTTTCTACCTGATGCTCACCCAACTCTGTACCCACGCTACTGATGGTCATCCAGTGGCAAGTGCACTCTCATAAGTTCAATGTGTTATCATAAGAATCTATAACAGCACGAACAACTACAACATCATCGTTTTGGAGGGCCAAGCACGATTAACACTTTAAAGGGAACTTGTTCAGGGAATAGAAAATCTTTGACAAGATGCACAGAGAGCAGCAAATTGCAACATTCACAGGGCTTGAGTGTAAAACTTACAGGATAGAGCTTGCTTAATCCTTGGTTCCATTTTGTTTTATGGAAAATGGCCACGCTGCAAATATTAAGATGATGCAATAGTGGATATTTATTATCAGTGGGGGTTGGAAGGCTTAGGTTTTTATCAGTAAATGTTGGTAAACATCAATTTCACCACACATACAATGAAACAATGAAAAAATATTTGCATCAGTGACAATCAACATTTACAGATAGGCAATGTTAGAAAAATGCTGTTTGAGAACTTATTAGTGTTTGATTTATGGATATTTACTTGGTACATTTTGACTCGTGATGGTGATAATTTGTTTTGTAATGGTTATAAAGGTTTAATATTTTTAATCTCAGAGTCTAGTGTCATTAAATAATTATTGTCTTCCCCCCCATTGTTTGACACACACACCCCATAATTCCCCCCAACTTTGAAAATTGAAATCAGTATAGCTCAGGGAAAAATTAAAAACCCATCTTTTTCCACAGCTGTGAAAATTAAAAAGGATAAAACTTGGGGGAAAAAATAAGCTTTAAAATAATCCATGTGACCTGTCAAAATTATAAAAAAAAATAAAAATTGAATCCCACTAAGCCTAATCAGTGCATATGAAAAAGTCCTGACTTAGAAAAATAAGAAAAGTGAACTTTCTTACTGTGCTACCCACTAATTTTGCACCTTGATTTCCCTATGCACAAGAAATATGGAATTTGAATGTTTAACACAGAAAAAAGACAAGACAAAATTGCACTGAAAAAATTCACCATTAATCCACAGCTAATCATCAGCACCAGCTAAACTACAAACATGCATTGAGAGGTTGAATTCAAAACCTCCAGCTGCATAAATACAGGCTACTATTTAGTGAACTGAAGAGGAATTTCCATTAACATTAAGTAGTAACATTGCTTATCTGGTTTCAGAGTAACAGCCGTGTTAGTCTGTATTCACAAAAAGAAAAGGAGTACTTGTGGCACCTCAGAGACTAACCAATTTATTTGAGCATAAGCTTTCGTGAGCTACAGCTCACTTCATCGGATGCATCCGATGAAGTGAGCTGTAGCTCACGAAAGCTTATGCTCAAATAAATTGGTTAGTCTCTAAGGTGCCACAAGTACTCCTTTTCTTATTGCTTATCTGCTTGTTAGGCTAACCACCAGAGCAAGGGTTCCCAATTTTATTCCACCTGCCACCAAAATTTTACTTCTGTGACTACTAAACTACTCAATTTCTTTCTTCCATGGCTTTATATCTGCAAATCCTTTTGTGAACTTATGACAGAAATCTTAATATTGCTTCAGTAAAAGAAAACCGACAAAACTAAAAAATGCCAATGCTGTATTATGGACAAAGTAGGTTTTATATTCATATTCATACAAATGTGATAATTTCACAATTAAAATATCAAAACCTGTAATTTATACATTCTTATTGAAAATTTAATGACTTGCATATTCCCTAGTGAGATATAGTTAAGGCTAAATAATAGGCTAATTAACGCAGCTATTTACATTAGAATATTATTGTCACAAACATAAAGGAGAGAAACATTTTCCCCCATTGAAAGTAAAAAATGGTGGTCTGTAGAAAATTGTTGAGGCCAGGAGAACAGATTTTCAACCCCCATTTGGGTTACAACCCCAGACTTCAAAAATATTGCTCTGGAAAATGAGACTGTTGCAAACACGTGAGCCAGCTGGTTTCTATTAAAGATAGGGAAATGTTAAGTATGAACAAAAGCATGTTTGCAGTCAACTATTCATGAAACATTTGAACTCTGTCAAATAAACCTGTTTAGGTAGTGTTAAAAAAGTCAGAATCCATTCCTATGGTTCCCCTAGTTACAAAGATTTTGACTCACTTATCATTCACAATATCTAAAATACTATGGTGAAGGCTTCATTAGCAATATTAAATATACACACAGTTATGAACCCTGAATGTTTTTCTTTTTCAGATTATTCAATTATATGATTATATGCTGATTTAGGGCCTTCGTATTTAGCCATTCCATGTTCAGAATTTTCACTTCATTAAAAGCTCTGTGCATATTGGAACTCCAGAACAAGGCCTTAAAATATCATTTTATTGGTTCAAGAAGCCACAGACATGAATTCCAAGCACCAAAATGAATTCCGGAAACAACATGCCTGAACAAAGCAGTAAAATAAGATTTGAAATACAAAGTACCTTGTATATATGATTTTTTGTATAAGTTTGAGGCCAATCACTTTCTCAAATACTAAACACTATCAAAATAAGGACACAATATCACACATATATAGCATTCCAATATGAATTTAAATACAAAAAACAAACAGCATATGCACACACACTGACCTATATCAGATTAAGATGTTGGTTAATGCAGTATATATGTGAATTAGACATACAGAAGATGAAAAAAAATGTGTTTAAGGTAGTAATATGGCTGAATATAAGTATTACTTCAGGAGTACTATTTAATCTTTATTTTAAAGTGCTTCAGTGGTCACCAAGAACTTTACAATCATAAGGAAGCATAAGATTTATATTCTTAAATTCCAAAATACAAGCATCTACCTCTCAAGTTAAGGGTCACATGAGTAGGTCTGACATTCCATCCAGTAGCGCACACAGTTTTATGTAAACACTAACCAGTACAATAGAAGGCCCAGTTAGAAAAACCACTTGTCCTTGAGCATCTGGAGTTCCCTAGAGTTTAGCTCCTGGAGTTTGGTGCCAGTTATACAAATAAGAAATATTATTGAGTCATAACAGTGTTTGGGCTTATGACACATATTTGAGAGCAGGTCCGGCCTTCCATCCAGAAGAGGGCACCATCTCAGTCTCTCCCCCTCCTCCCCATCATACATACACATACAATTACATAAACAAACAATTTAAAAAAAAATCAGTAAAACTTACTTATTCCACAGAAGCAGCCATATATCTATGAACGGATGGGAAACTTGAGTTGATATGCAGCAAATCTCTCTCCTGTTGATTTAAAGAAAACACTTGCCTTTGAATGTTGCCTTTAGGAAAGTTTCCAACCTATTTCCATTACTTTGAGCGTGGATGGAGATGTGGGAGAGGGGTGCAATTTTATTATAAATTAACTTGAGATTTTCCCCAGACAAAACCTGCCTACATTGACAGAGTAAAAAACCTAAGAAAAATGCACATAAAAATTGTATATGCAAATTTTAAAATTCTGAAGTTGGCACCCTCCACATCCCTCAATTATCCCTACACAACTACATCAATCCACTCCTTCCCACTATCAGTTCTTTCCCCACTCCTCCTCCATCCATTAGTTATCTTCCGCCATCAATTTGATTTTGCCTACTATCCATCAGTCCCCTTCTTCCAACTCTCTTATTTTGGTTCCCCTGGTCTATTGATCCATCTTCCCTTTCTAGTCCCCCAGTTTCCCATTTCCCTAGCCTTCCTTTCCTCTCCTCCCCTTTACCCCACTACCTAATACTCAGGCAGGGCTGGCTGGCTGGCCTCTTTGCTTAGCAGATGCAGTTGCTCGGCTTGCTGGTGTTGGTGGGCATTTCTCCCTCCTTTTTTCCTTCCCCTGCTGACTGTGCTCAGCTCATCTAGACCTGGACTCCTCCCTTAGCTTTCTCTGAAACTATCCTTAGAGAACAGGGGCATTGCTGAAGCTGGGAATGCAGCCTGACTGGCTGACAAGGAAAATCACCAGCTCCACCCACCTTGGCAACTAGCTAAAGTCAGACAAACCTGCTTTGGGGGCATGGGGGCAGAAAACAGACTGAAAAGCCATTGTTTCCAGCAAAAAACTAGGCAGATCTGGGTCTGGGGTTTGCATTATTAAGATAACATGCACCCCTGACTCTTCATAGAACTCAGTGCTTCTGATGTCCTTCTCCTCTGCAGAGGGCCTCACAGTCTCCCTACTACCAGTCATGTTGGGCTGTGAGTGGAGGAGGTCTCTCTGTACCCAAACTGCACACTTTCCAGCTGTCATGATTTTCTCATGACATAGAAATTATTTGTTGGCCTTTGTTATGGCCTTTGGCACATGCCCAACTGACTCCCTGTGTCACTGCACACACTGTACTGCAGGAATGTAAGCATTGACTTGTCCAGGGCTTTCGCTATAATTCTGGAGGAAATCCATGGCCATCCAGTGTTAAAGAGGATGGGGCACGCCAATTTCAATGAGCCAGCAATTCTCCTTGTCTTTATTCTTTAGCTTCTGTCAGACCAGGGAAGTCCTTTCGGCTCAGAAAAGGAGGTACTATTGGATTTCGTGTGTATGGGACACATTTTCTAACTTGGTTCTTGATGCTACAAGGGATTGAGCACACTGCATTGCCACTGAAGTCAATGGGAGTGGAGGGGGCTTAGCATCTCAATGGCACATGTCCTTCCCACAGCATTGTGGTGAGAGATAAACTGGGAGAAAAAGGAAGGGACCAGAGAAAAGAGGAAGAGGACAGGGAGAAAAAAAATTCAGGCAAAGGAATTAAAATAAATGTATGGGGGAATGCAAATTAAAAGAGCTAACGTAAAATCACTGAATACATAAAAGTGTTGGAAAGTGTTATAGAAATGAAAAACTAAGGAGAAAAGAGATAGTCACAGGAGAAAAATATAATAGAAATCAGATGAGACAAACAGAGCAAAGAAAGTAAATAGCAAATTTAAATAGGTTTTAGAAAATATAATAGGAAAATATACAAAAGAAAAGAAAAAGGGAGGGGAAAAGAAAGAACTGAAAAAGACACATGGTAAATTATTCTTTTGAGCATAAGTGGTTGGGGTTTTTTTTAGTCAACATAATTAAAGTAAAAATATCCCAGGGGAACCAGTCCTGCTTTTTAATGATCAAAACTGTACACAATATAGGAATGATAAATGCTTTAATTTTTTTCCCCTAAATGCCTTCAGAGCCTACCCCCATTCATACAATTCACAGGTGCCTCACCTGAAAATGACCAAACTCCACCACAAAATCCCAAGATGTAATTGGCCACTACAACCAGGGAAGTAAGCAGGTTAAGTGCACTGCAGTGGTGAATCACTTTTGCATACGCAGTTATTTGCACAAGTTAACTGTTTGCTCATGCACATTGAGCAAGTTAGCAACATAACTATTGGACCTCTTTGCACAAACATCATTTGCATGCTTAAATGGAGGTGTCTGTACAGGGCACAAGCCCCTTTGAAAACACAGCCCTTCAGCAAAAACCCATTATTGGAAAGTCAGAGTCTTGCACTGCATGCTTTTTAACAGTTTCCAGACTCTGAGGACAAGACTTGTGGTGCCTTTGGGGTGAGCTTTTTTTGGCGGTGAACAAAAATCACCTGAGATTATGCAATTTCTTCCCGCTTCCATGCTCTCAGAAGAGGGGTCCTACCAAAACACATTTCCTCCAGAGCAGAGGGATGGACTTCATTCTCTCCAGTCCCAATTGCTGCTGCTCCTTCATTTGTTTAGAAGGGCTCACTGGAGAGCGAAACAGAGTCTTCCTGTCTCCCTCAGGAGCCGAATACTCCGTTTCCTCACCTGCTATCTGAGCTGATTGATGACGCCAGAGCAGCAGTTGCATCCCCTGAAGCTACAGCTATAATGCTTCAGGGGCTACGTTGCTAGGGGAAAAGCAAACTCATACATCAAGGTCTTGAGACATTTAAAAACCATCTCTTACTGGCATTGAACAATAGCCTAGACAGAGCTGAGCACAATTAGTGTGATTTTTCTGAGTTTCACATATGTGTATCAGACTCAGATTTCTGTATGCTACATGATTTGAAGGTTTTTAGCCAGACAAAGGAATTTTATTCCCCAGGAACCTTCACAAATAGATTAAAGCTACAGAAGTTCCAGCCAAAAGGCTCACATGATTGTTCTTCATGCAGTACATTCTGGTTACCTATTTCTTTTCAGTGACAAATGAATACAATACCTTCTGGCTTCCTATATTTTGTTCTCTTTTGTCACCTTTGTCACCTAGATTTCGTGGCATATGTATGTCCTTTCCCCTGACAGACCCAAGAAGAGGGTCATGCACTAAGACCTTGGCCTTAGTGAGAAAAGCATTTGTCAATACAGTACCCGCAATTATCATAGCGGCTCGGGGCTATGTAACTGCCCCATTCAACTTGTAAATTGCACTTCCATATAAGGTTACCTGGGTGTGGTTTTTGACAGTGCATATTTCACTCTTTTTACTGTACATGCATAAACATGTCCGACCGTTGTGGTAGGTTTTCACCCAATATGGTGAATTTGCACAAGGAGATCATAGTATTTTACACATTCTTCCACATGAGATCATGAAACATTTTTAGAACAGAAAACAGCCATTTAGCCCAATACACCTATTCTCAATTGGCTGATCATAACCTCATCTTTCTGCGTATTCACCATACACCATTTCCTCCTCCAGAAACAATTCTAATGTACATTTCTCTTGAAAGCAAAAATACATTGTTTAATTTATTCCATATGTTAATTACTCTCTCTGAGAGATAACAGGAACATAAGAACGGGCATAGTGGGTCAGACGAAAGATCCATCTAGCCCAGTGTCTTGTCTCTGACAGTTGCCCATACCAGAGCTTCAGTGGGAGTATACAGAATTCAGTGGGAGTATACAGGGTAGTGATCTACCACTGTCTTCCCCTCCTACCTTCTGGCAGTCAGAGGTTTAGGGCTGTCCTAAATTTAGACTGAGGTCACTATTTGTATGGTTTCCTAATTTTTGAATTATGTCACTTATTTAACCTTGCAGTAGTGAGAATGTTTCTATTTTAAATCAATATAAAAGGCCAAACAATCCTCTTCTATACAAATGTTCCTAAAGGGAAAATTACATCTACGTTCCCATGGCTCAGAAACCACTAATGTCAATCTCCTCTTAGCCAGAAGGATGAGTGTTAGCATGGAACGGATAAAAACAAGGTCTCATCCACACAAAAGGACTAATACTCTACTGCCTTGCACCTGGTGTAGCCATCAATACATTGTACTCACCTTACACAGCATTAAGTGACTATACAAGGTGCAAGGAAGTGGAGAATCAGGCCCAGGCAATCGAAAGAAATACAAGGGATAGCCGTAATCAACCTGGAAGATCTCTGGACTGGCAAGGAAGCTCTTCACAGTTTGAAAATTTTCTGCTCTTAACTGCATTAAGAAACCTTCCTTGGCCTTCCTTTCTACTGCCTGGCTCTGTGACCACACTGCCATTGGTTCCCCCCTCTCTGCACATGCTCTCCATCACACTTCCAATGGGGCTCACACAGCATAGAGCAGAAATTAATGTTGCTTCCATGGCACTCACTGGAGAAAATCCACTAGTTTTAGAGGGAAACTTTGGCTTATTCCACTTCTGGCCTGACATGTCCACTGGTATCCCACAAAATCACAACTGCATTGTCCATGTTGAAGGCCTTGCATGAGTATAGATGTCATTTACACGTTGTACATGGCACTCACACATTCTGCAATTTAATCAGGGTGGATAAAAATCAGGGGTTTTTTTTAAAATTAAAAATGGATTTTTTGAAAAATTAAATTAAATACATGTTTATTTTAAAAAAACCTATTTAAAATTAAATTTGAAATTGATAAGTTATGTTAAGGCCTAAACATATGATGATCTAGTCAAATAATTTAAATTAAATTCAAGAAAGTATTAAGCGGTTCATGGTTTTGTCACGTTTTAAAAAAAGTCATACTACTGAACTGGTGGAAGTCATCTGGAACCAGAGTTTGTTGAAGTGCTAAACCAGCTTTTGACAGCAATAGCCTCTACTGCAGATAAATACCTTCTTTATTTCAGCATATTCAACTAATTTATCCAAGTTAAGAAACCAACTGGAATTTGAAAAAAGCAGAAAAACTTGTTTTCCTTTCAATCTAGTAATAAAAACTAGGTATGAGTGGATGAGATCTGCTAGTTCTAAAATTCTAAAGGTTGTGGTGACCAGAATCATTTCAATTAACTACAGATAACA